ATGTTATATCATAATCACAATCACATACAATACGTATGTTCTCAATCTCACTGTGCGCCCCTATGCGCTCGCGCTCTTTCGGTATTCCTAGGTTCTTCAAGAGTCCCGGAAAAAGTTCATAAACCACATGTTGACTCCAGTTGACTTCTTCTACATGATTCCTGTAGAAGTAGTAGGCCTATTATAGTGCGGTTAAAAATTCGAGGCGCGACTTATTTTCAAATATCTTCTCAACTATCGAACCTAGGTTCTCCAATTTTTGCACAGTGACATGGATCCATTTGCCTCAACTGATCAACATTTTCGTAAACACCTGCAAGCTGTATTCCAGAAAATTCCTTAATAAATACGACTAATAAAAAATTCAAGTGGGTGGTTTCTACAGATTTTTAAATGTTTTCAGCTGGGGCAATATTGTTTTAAATAGCAAGTCCGTCGGGATATTCTGCTTATTGGACGCATGTTTTGAGAGCCATTAGTGTAAAAAAGTGTTCACTATACTATAACAATAATTCCTTGTGACAAGTCTTGCTAGTAAAAATTGTCATTTATGAGCTGTGACGGAGGCCATATAAGCGTAATCAAAATGTGTGTGAGAAGTGGGAAGTACTGTGAACAATACCATTTTACGTGAAACAGATATTTCAAGTACCGTACTTTAAAAAATTATGAAGAAAAGTTTTTTAAATCTAGCACGAATTAATTGTTCTGGAATAATATGATTTAGTTAAGACAAATCGATACAAACTGCTATGCAAAGTATGGATGACATTGATTCACCCGTTAGAGATACAGTCCGTGCCGGCTTTAAGCACGCCGGCTTAAAGCACGTTTCGGACTCAAGCACGCTAAACGGCTCTTACCGAATTTTTGCTATATATAAATTACACACGTTTAAGCACGGTAACTTCGGCTTCAGGCACGCTTCTTTACAATACAAGACAGTCAATACTTTTATGATGACCCATCGAAGTTCGAACACAGTCTACACCGCAGCAGTGGAGTGTGTTAAAAGAAACAGAGAACGCAAGTGATGGAGACACACACTCACACGCGCGGAGAGGAAGGCAGAGAGATGCACACAGTCGCGCTCGTGGACGAAAAAATACAAAGAGAGTCTGGGAGACGAGAAAGGGAGGCTGGCTGCGATTTCACCTTTGACCCTCGCTATCCATTAATCCTGATTGTGTATCACGTGCGGGGTGGGATTGAGGTGGGATGAAGGCGGTGGTATGAACGTGGCACAGCGGGCAGTGGTACGCACAGGCAGTGTGTAGGCCTAGTGTGCTGTATCATTCGTGACTGGCCGTCTAAATTAAGTTTTCATTTCCCATTCGACCACAAAACAAAAACAAACAAGCAAACAAAAACTACCATGGCGGGTAAAAATAACTGTGCACACTTTTGAGGGACCGCTATAGGCCTACTTAAACAAAGGGAAATAGCACGGGAAATTTTCTACATGAAAATCTCTGGATTATGTCTACTTCGCACTCAAGTACGCTTCGGCATTATGCACGCTTATGCTTTCTCCCGATGACCGTGCTTAATTAAAGCCGGCATAGACTGTATTTGAGGATAAGTTGCACCACGAATTTTTGACCGCACTATAGTAGTATTTAGACAAAGGCTAAAACAAGTCACACCCAGGCTCAACAAACAGTGATCCATCATCATTTTGACTTCAAATGTCTTTTGGTGTAAATATTTAATTTACCTAGGGGCATGCCAGTGAAACACAGAAAGGGTTTATGTTATGCAAGCTCTCTTATTTCACTGCAAATGTGTGACAATCTTAGTTTTGGGCAATCGGGGGTCGTTTAATGATTGATAATGACAAATGTTTCAAGTCCAAGTCAAAAACTCACACAGTCAACCCTTTTTAAAAAGCTAATACTTTTCTTTAGTCACTTTAGTTCGTTTCGTTCTGTGGAACAACCAGGAAAGACAAAGACAACAGAGGAAAAAGAAAAGAAGTAGGACCAATGGCACTCACTAACTCACCAACGTCCTGCATGTGTATGCTAATGATAATGTATAGAGTAGAAAGCCACATAGCTGAGAACATAATGATTCATGAAATGTGTGTCTGTCTCACATGTCATAATATGACTTGGGAGATTTCAGTTTCCTTACAACTTACAAAAAATTTCTATTTATTTCCATTCTTCATTGTACACTACTATAGTATTCATCTGTGTACCTTGAATACTTTCATCAGTTTCAGCGATTACTCCAACTCCAACCAAAGATTCTTCAAAACTCCAGTCCCATCCTTTACTTTCAACATTATCATCATTATGAAGTAATGCAAGATTTAAAAGACACAGGGTCCATGATTTATAATAATTGCATTTATATATATGTGAGGAAGCGTGGTGGAATCAGGCTCTCGTCAAAATAATCAAAGAGAAGAAACTTGCATTTTTCCGCAGGTTTGTGAATTTTTATAACATTTTTTTTTTTTGGCTCAACACCTTCCATGCCCATTAAAGAACTAATTTCTGGGTGGGTTTTTCTGAAAAACGTTGATTAAAGGCACAAAAAAATGTAAATTTTCAGTTACCACAGACTCTTCAGCTAAGGAAATAACTAATCTTTGGCGACCATTTTCTCACTAATTTTACCTCTTAAAACAGGTGACCCCCACCTCCTTCTTTCGCAAATACCTCGAATTGTATTCAAGATGAATGGATATTTTCCCCATCCAAATAAAGAAGTGAACAAGCTTTAAGATGATACCAATTTATAACTCTACATGCCCAAAAATTGACGAGACCCTGATTCCACCACGCTGCCTCACATATATCACAGACCTATGCTCTACCTACAACTACAACTGGTATGGGCAAGAGCGTCTAAGTCGTGGGTGGGCTGGATCAAGCAACTCCGAATGCAGGTATCTCGCAGGCCAAAGCGGGAAATCATATAAATTGTGAAATCATTTAAAATACTCAAGCTATCAAAAGTGAGGCTAAAACTAAAACTAGCGCTAAAGTACATATAAACATTAACATTCATCACTCGAGCGCACCTCATGGAACAAAATTTCAAATCAATTGCTTCCAGCAAGGCTGGAAACAACATGTATTACTTTAATTTTTAAGGACAGATTTGTTTCCATTAAAATAATTAACTCACCCTTGC